GCTAGCAGAATGCAACCACCTACCTCAATCAAAACAATAGGAGTTGAGATGAGAGGGAGGGAGAGAGTGGAGGCTGAGTTGTGGGAAAGGCAATGAAGTGGAAATTCTAAACTTCGTATGAAAAAATGGGAATGGGTAAAAGATCAAATAAGTACGCCACGTAAACAGTTTGATTCTTTCTCCTATGTAAGTCTCTCTGTGGCAATTACGCTTGAACAACACATTTAGTTATCATGTGACACACCCGCCTATATGTTTGGAAAATTGTTATTGTGTGGCAATAGTTTACCTTAACTACTCTAGACTGTAAACATTGCATTTGTCTGTTTTAATCAAAGAATTTTATATGAACACCTAGATAATATATCTATTCCGAGAAGGGGTGTGATGTTGGCTCTCGTAAGACAATGTGATGGTGTAAATTAATTAACACTTTATTTTGATAATTATTATTGAAATCTGCCTTTTAGTTAAGACGCTATTGGTTGCAGGATTCAGGCCTTGAATAGTTTTGCATTAATATCCAGCATTTAGGTACTTACATGCTCCATGGAATTTTCAACCTTATGGTCAACAATTTTAATTGCAAAACTTGCAAATCTGTCATTTGTGCGTGCGATAAGTGAAATAAAATTAATTTTTATGATATCAATTCGTTTTTCTAAATGCATTTGAAACTGAAAATTTTAACAGCTGACGCTCTTAATTTTGTTTCAACTTATTATTTAGACAGCTAAAATTAAAAAGTTTAATTAAAATGAATTTCACTTATCAGACTGAATGTCACAATCTTGAAGTCTCAACGGCCTTTTAATTATTGGTTGTGATGGTTATTGTTGGTCTGTGAAAATATTTTTACAATTTAAAGTTTGCAAATTTATTAAAATTGACCGAAGTGCAGGGGTTTTATCTGCATAATTTTGGTGTAACTCCTACTTCTAAGACATCTAAGTAGTATTATAGAGTTCTGAAGTCAAGACCATTTGGAGAGACTAATTAGTTTATAATAAGCGAAGTAGTTATATTATTTTCCATAAACGGCGGTTTTAATTTGCCGAAAACGGATTTTACTCGGGCGTATACCATGACAACCGTTGGGATGACAGGCAATTGCATCCATCAGTTCAAGTCTTTCCAGCTTGACTTGTATTCAGGCTTACTCTGACCAAGCAGCAATCAATTCAGACATCTCGTCTGTTCGAACAACAGTTAAAGAAAGTATGCTGGCTAGAGGGATAAAAGAAAGGTCGAGTTACCTTTACCTCCCTCAGAATTTCCAAATTACCCATCAGCTTCGAGTTATCAAAATATCTTGGTTAGAGTAATCACTTTGGTGCTAAGGGCGTGCTCGTTTGGCGTAATATGCAATAGACACTGATGGATGATAATTGTAAACAATCTGGTGAAACTGGTTACAAAGGGAGATAATAAAACGGCTGCGCTCAATTATAATGAGTATTCCTTGTGTACTCCAAATCAACGGTTCGTAGTCACGCTTTATTCTCAATATTTCTGAGCCTATCCAAAGAAGCTAGTAACTTGCTAGATGGGCTGGTATTCGAAGTAATACTGAACAGTACCGATGGAGTCTGCTTCAACCAGTACTGTCATAAATAATCTTCGTTGGGGCGTTTGCCAATTAAGAAATACCAAAGGCTATTTATTCCCTTCAACTCAATTTAGGGACTTTGTTGCTGCCCGAATATCGTCATACTCTCCGTTAATGCTTAATGAGCATGTTGAATGCATCGCGTGCAATATGAAATGGCAACTACTCATGTCACAGGCGGTGGGGGACGGGACGGTTCTTGGTCCTCTACAATGGGCGCTTTTGTTCCAAGAAAATATTAATTTACCATGATGTGGTTTTATTGAGTTCTGTGACTTGCAGCAATTCTGTCAAGTGATTGGATCATGAAAGTTTTGTACTCTTATATTAAGAAATTGCAATATCGTTAATGTTGAGATTATTAAAATAAATTAAACCCGGCCAACTATCTAAATTAATAATCGTCTCTTCAGGTACGCATATTTAGCATTCTTCGAAGTATCTCTGAGCAAATTACAACGGTTTTACAACAAACCAGTGCTTATTTTCCGTTCCTCTCGGTTATGTTCAAATTATAATTTTATAAAAATCATCCGATTTACTGAGGTCTGCTATGTTGGCTCTTATCATCCGACTAGCATCTTGTTTGTTCGGTGCGCACTGGACGCTAGATTGTAAAAGAATGGTCCACTAGAAACCTATAAAAATGAAATCAGATTCACTAAATTTTAAAGTGGTTCAACTTTCTTGGCCACTTTCGTTTCTAACGTTTCTCAAGGTCTTGCCTTACATGGGTTTTAATAATTGTAAGATTGTTTCTGTTTTGCTGTGATATTCAAATATTGAGAAAATGCAGTTAAGAATTTCACATGACAGGCTTATACAATTTTGTTTTCATACAATAAATCATCACGGGTAAAATTTGAATGAATTTATTTATTTCAAATGGCAGTCGTTTTGATAGTCATCATTAGCCCTTTAGTTAACTTCAAGCTTCACAGAGAGAAAATAACATCAAAGTGAAAATAAGTCGAGATGGGGGGGTTAGAAGAGAGTTTCAAATATCTAAAAGAGACAGACACAAAGGTAGAGAAAAGGTAAGATGAGTACGGTGATAGTGGTGGAATACGACATACAATAAGGTGATAGTAGTTTGAAGTCAGAAGACAACTCCCAGTTAATAGACTTTTTTGCCGTGTAAGTATAAGTTGCCCATGATGTACCACGTGGAGATAAGTTTGAGAAATTAAACTTGTGCGTGTTCAAAGCTGTCATAGCGGAACAAAGACATTTCATGCGCACTCAGACAGATAGGGGTTACATGTCGCGTGGGGGGTTGGTGAGGTAATGTGCCCAGTGACCTCTCAGTCAGCCACCAATGCATAGGCCCTTCATCGTATTTGAACGACCAGGCTCTGTGATAGATACAAAGTCCAACTAAAGGAATTCCACGCCATACATCTGTTTTCTCTATAGCTTTGCCGCAGCTTAGCTAATCCCGGGAGTTTTTGCTACTTACTGAATATAAGTCAAGTTTGTAAGTGTAGCAATCTGCTAACATTCGACAGGAGTAACAATTTTAGTTGGAACGAAAATCCCAGCTTAATTTACATAAGTCATGAGACATAACTTTTGATCATAAAATCTACTTAAAGTCTGGATCTGTGTAAATTCATTAAATGGTAATTAATTTCGAACTTTATGCCTAAATATGTTTTTTCTATATAAGTTCCAAGCCCATCTTAGGGTGACTCTTGGGAGACTTCTGCGTAAAACAAAAACTTATAATTTTATGAAAATATTGGGCTTCCGATAGCAGTTCTATTATCAAATTGTTTTGGGGAGCGGTTGCAATTTCTTAATCTGGCTGAAGAACCAAGTGAGTTTAAACAACCAAATTTATGTGGGTTAGGAGTCAGTCACAATCAGAAACGAGACCCATTGGGTTTCAAATTGAGTTGAGCGTACTTAATTTAACCTTTTAGTAAACTTTTCTTTCATAACAACTTATGGTCTTTTTTGCGGATTGGCTCTTACGATTTAGTAATGCAGCACAAGCGTCAGTAAGAATATGACTTTAGTTCAGGTATTTTTTGATTGGATAGAAGGTGTAGAGTTCAGCAGTTCCTTCACAATACCAAAAGGTGCATTTAAGCACATTGCGAATCGATAAGGCTTATTGAAAACTTTTTACTATCCCCACCAATTACAAATATAGGGTTTTATTCATCAGTCAAATTGGAGTTAAACAAGCAGGAAAACTTGAGGATATCATCGGTGTTGAACAACAAAAATTAAAAAAATTATCAATGCTAATTATAAACCTGTTATGATGAGTTAAGTTAACCAATTTTCCATAAGGCCAAATTTCAGCTCTATGACCTTGGAGATTTTACTTTCTTATCGTGACCTTAAGCTCTTAGTTTATAATTATTGGTCATAGTCAAGCGATCCATTGATTTTTTTTGCAAAATATTTGTATGAGAGTCCTGCAAATAACTACTCATATCCTTTGAAGTTCCTTCAATTAACTGTAAACAATTGTACACAGTCATTGTTGCCTCAACATCACCACCTCAATCCCCAATCCCTTGAGACTACTTCAACTCTCTTCGATCATTTCATCTCACTCCTGCATAACTGCTACCTGCTTCTTCTTTTACCCTCATCTGGTTCTGATTCAAATTATAGCCACATGTTAAGCCCCTTCTGACTTGAGATGAGACGATTAATCAGATGATTACACGTCCAAATTTACGCAAGACTTCTAGATGTGAAATTGTCTTAAAAATTCGTCTCAATAGGTCTATGTATCTTCCATTTTAGTGAGTAAATTCAGTATAGGAAAGAAGAAGGAAGAAAGATTTTTATCACTTTAAAATAAAGCCCTGATCAATGGACAACTTCGTAACGACACAATGATGAATTTTGCTAGGCAAATTTAAAATTAATACAATAGGATATATTTGCAAGTTCGAATCTAATCACATGAAACCCAATAATAAATATGGGTGTCGTATTTTTCAAACAGATGGAAACGAATTAGTATAAACAATGACCGAATGAAAAATAACGTTCATTTAATATGTATTTAAATAACAGATGGTAAATTGCGATATTTCAAGTAAATTTCTACCAATCTTAAAGAATTTTTTATGAATTTAAAGTATTAAGGCACATTCTCTGAGGTTAATGTAACGTGACTATCACTAAAGTGCTTTTAAAATCTAATTTCCTTTATAAAATAGAAGTGATAATGCAGACTCGATTTTTAGGCCAATCAAATTCGTCCACAATTAACAATGGACCAATCAACACCGTATACTTTTGTAAGTGGCTTAACATGATGACAATGCTATAAATACTAACCAGAATGCGTTCAGATCTTCCCTCTTAAAAATAATACACATATCAAATAGAAAATCATCATATTCAATAATTTTTTCCCACAATGGGTCTTTTCCCATGCCGTTGGATTGCATTTTTCTTCTTCACAATCAGCGAACTTCAGTTAGTATCCTATGGAGTTCTTTACAAACAACTTAAAGTTAGAATCCCGGGGGACATTATGATTGGTGCTCTATTTCCTATCCACGAACAGCCGACGGTGGTGACAGCTTTCTCCAGACAGTGTGGAAGCATTCGAGAGCAATATGGAATTCATCGAATAGAAGTGCTTATACGGACTATTCAGGAGATTAATGAAAATGAGAACATCCTACCGGGAATTAAAATAGGTGTGGATGCAAGAGATAGTTGTTGGTATGGACCTGTTGCTTTGGAGCGGTGTATGGACTTTATACGAAATGCCTTTTTATACAAGGAATACTCAGATTGCATGAAAATGAAAAATGGATCTAACGAGAAGTGTTTGCCTAAAGGCGTTGATTCTAGCAATATTGAAACTCCTATTGCTGCGCTCATTGGACCTGGTTCCAGTGAGATGACTAAGCAGGTTCATCAAGTTCTTCAAATTTTTCAAATTCCACAAATTGGATACTCTGCTACTGCTGCAGATTTGAGTAATAGGGCGGAATATAAGTACTTCTTGAGAGTTGTACCATCCGATAATCTACAAGTTGAAGTTATTGCCTCGATTCTGCAGAAATATGGTTGGACCTATGTAACCCTGCTTAGTTCAATTGGTAAGCAGAATTTAAACATCACTTAATTTTCCATACTAAGGCATTAAGTTCAGCATGAATTACTAAGTATTCAGTTACATCATTTACAGTATGATTATAAATTTGATTACCGCCCTATTCTTTCTGCACATTTCAAGTCATTTTAAAACATTTTGATATTGAGAAATATGATTTGAAGACGGCTTATTTCTATTCATTTAATTAAAGGGTATCAGTTTTAAATTATAATTATAAGATTGATTAGATAGTTGAAAAATCATCTCGCAAATTAAGGCACCCGCATTGCTAAAGTAGGCTGGTAATAAACAGTCAAGTTACGTTCGTTAGCGTTATTCTAGAATATTTTTTGCTCGATTTCATTTAGAAAATTTATAAATTATTTTTTATTATAACTTGCTCTTCGATCACTTACTCAACTTATTTATGAAAGGGAAATATTGTTAGATTGTACAGTGAGTCTATTAGCAGGTTTAAACGTATTACTTAGAAGCCTTCATATCTTAAGCATAGATCGGCAGTCCTAACTTGTTTCATATTGTTTAAACAACAGAATTTAAAGATGGTCATTATAAGGCTAGCGATTAGTATTGTTAAATTATTTGGTGCACTGTTATATGAGAGCTTAGAAGTTAGTTAAATTAAACTTCTACAAAAGTAAACCTAACTTAATTAAAATTCAATAGCTCGAAACATTTTAAAGCATAATATTTCCTTTATTTGGACGATAAAAAATATAAAACTGTCCTCACAATTACTTTGGATTAAATTCATACATTTTAATGCAAAGCTGTTACACGTCTTGAAAATAATAATTTTATTGTGCTCTTTATGTTAAATTAATCTAAGCAATAACGTTTCAAATTTCAAGAAATATTTCTAGGAGAGAGTGAGGATGGATTTAGATTTTATATCAGGAAATGAAAGCAATTTCTTGAATCTGGTTCGTATTCCACTTTTTTGGGTAAAATTGAAGGTTTCCCGGGGTTAAGTATCAATAAAGCCAACAATTTTTATACTATTGGCTAGGAGAATAATAATTTGGCATGCAATGCACGCTTAAGTTACTTTACGACATACCTGGTAGTATTAACTGCAATTAAAAAGCTTTTTAATAATGCAATATAGATCAAAGCGTTCTCCTTAAAGTCAAAACACAAACTACTCTAATTTTGTAGACAACTAGCTCATGGGGTATATGGCTGTACAGAACTATAATACTTAATAAATTCATCTCGTACGAAGAAGGAAACGACTCATGAGGCTTTTTTCAAGACGAAAAAGACATTTCTATCCCACATTTGCGGGCAAATAAAGAAACCTTTTAGTTACGAGAAAGTTAGAAAGTCTCCCACTACTCCCAATTAGACTAAAGGAACGTCGAACTCATGAAGGAGGGAATATTGCCAAGGTACATATTCCCTATGTTCTACTTTCTTGCAAAAAATTGACTGAACGCAACTACATTAATTTCTATTAATTCAGATGCCTTAATTTTCATAGCTTTAAATTATAATTCCACAGATGCGTTGAAAAAATATATATGCATATCACCGTGATGATCATGAATTATAGTTTAAAGTACCCTTTAAAATGTGTGCATTCGTGTTTGGCAGTGAGCCTTTATTCGTTCAAAGGCTTCTAGGGTCCCAATTTAAAAAAAAAAACTTGGGACAATTTGGGAAATAAGTTATTTGTTTGCACTTTGTGGCTTTCACCTTTTAGGCATTGTGTGTATTTTTAAAAGAGTATGAATAGAATGCATGATACGAGCTTTCGGTTTTACATTTTCTGTGTACTGTTCTATTCAACTGAATAAGTCGACATTTTCCCCTTGGGTATTACCGGGTCCACGGCATTTTCTAAATTGTAAGTGATTCAATACTATAATGAATTTAGCTTTCATTGTGCTCCCAACATCTTCAAAACCAACAGAATACAAATAATACACATGTCAGTGAAGTGTACAAAGTTCTCTGATGAGAAAAAGGTGAGAAAAAGTAATAATTTTAATGCAGAAGTGCTTGAGATAAAACGCGCGGGGCATCGAGTTGTTGTCACAGGAAGCCAAGACAAAATGCCGCTTTTAATTGTCATATAAAGGCAATTATAAATGGTTCCAATTATTGCCACTTCACCCCTTTCCTTGCAGACATAAACTGTTAATGTCCTTCTTCAGAAGGCAAATATTTTTACTCCAATTTAATCACCTCTTTATTGATTATTGTTTTACGAAAAAAATTTATTTTTCAATATTTAACATGTAATGCACAAATCATTAGAATAATAGATAGCTGACATTATAAAGTCCAGTATATTTTGCATTTTTAGTATTTGGATTCATATTTCAATTGGCAAATGTAATGGAATTGAACAAAAAAATTTGCGGTGATTAACTACATTTGTGCGTGCCATGAAACCCATTGGCTGAGCGCTCTTTCAATTTTAATCCTTAAGATTAAAACAGTGTGCAATATTTAAATATTTAAATAATTTTGTTTTTAAAGATCATATTTTCAATTAGCAAAACCACGGTGAGTTATTATTATTGGCTAGCGGATTTTATAAATCGATGTGATTAAGGCCACATGATACATTTAGTGAATTTTTAAATCATCTGGAGGGAGCGCTGAAACTTATTCAAGTTTGTTTCACTAGGGAACATTTAATTTTGAATAGAATTATTTGCATAACAAGCAACTGATTTAAGTCCTCATGGTGATGCTCCAGCCCATAAACTTGATTTGATCAAGTTCTTTTTTATTTTAAACAGCAAGAAAAGAGTTAGAAGGAAACATTTAAACAACACCATTTAATAATTTTAACAAACGAAAGCCTTTTCATGCATACTGTATTAGAGTGAATTGAATTATAAGTACACAGATTTAGTTTATATATATATATATATATAGTTGACGTAATATTTTTTTGATATAGAGTTTACTTGAATTTGATCTAAAAATATGGTCATGAATATGACTAAACTGATTGTTTACATTAATTGACAAAATGACTCTCTGAAAAGAATACTTGAGAGTATTCAAAATTCGAGAAATGTTAAACATGCGCAAATCCATCACGGAAGAAAACAAGATATTGAACAGTCAAACCCTCATGTGAATCAAGAGTGGAAGTGATACATATTTCATATTTCATCTCTAAGTTTGTACCTATCGTTTTAAACAACACTCCGAGAACGTAGTTTCAGGATTTCTTATGTTCAATCTAAAAAAAAACATTAAATTGACAAATGGATTATTTATTATGCGATTTAAGGAATTGATCTTTTTCACTTAAATTCTTTAATTCTGCTTCAAAAGTCGATCATCTAGACTATTTTACGCGTATAATTTTGTCTCAAATGAAAATTTATTTCCTTTGGGATTATGCGGAATTGGGTCCTGCACATTGATTTCCTATATTTTATTTAATTCCTTAGTTTTTCCTTAGGGTTATTTTAGAATAGAAGAAGAGATATTGAATGAAACTTCCTTTAGGCATTCAATCCCAATATTGGAAAAGGTGCCTGTCCTTAAGGCAATTTTTCACCCAATAAAATGAACGGATGGATTTATTTGAATTTAACCAAAAAAAAACATTTATGAATGACGTCAAATTACTCCACTAGCTACCTTCTAATTAATCTTTTTAATTTTATTAAAACTATAAATATAAAAAATTCTAACGGTTTTCATTTTGTACACAAGGTGTTTAATAAATCAAGTTCCAAATGATAGAAAAATTGGCAGGAAGTTTTTTTTAAAAGAGATATTTATACGGCCTTTTAAACAATATTCGTATGCGGCTCTGTTTCATTTCTTTCAAAAATATATTTTTTTAATATATTTACCTGCTTTAATACCATAGATGCACCCTTAGGTGAAAATGTATAACTATTATAAAGTGGCTGGCCATAGGCTACGTGAACATAAATGCGTAATAATGTCCGATTATCAAAGATGTAAAGTTGGCCCTATTGCAGTGGATACTACACGAATGCGCCTTGACTAACTCGCTGCAATTTCTAAGGCAAAATCCTCTAGTAGGCCATTTCTGTCGAAATTGACCTAGCTACCCTAAAAATATGAAAGGAGCAGAGCGTGTGCTGTGCGAAACGTATATTGAGGTTGTGTATTACTGACAAGAAGCCCATTAACTAAAATGGATTAATTATTTGTTAACAATGCAGGAACTATTCATTGATGGTTGGCTGAGAGGTCCTTGCACTCATGACCACACTTGCACTCAACTTGAATACTGACATGACTGCACCTTAAAGACTATTCAAGAGATTCCCTTGTTCAGCCATGCTAGCGTCGTTTACTTCACGCAATCAGCATAAAATTGAACCCCATTGACCTTTCATTGATCCTCTTCAGTTTCCTGCGAACTAAGGTGTATTTATAAAGAAAACACTTTCAATCTCCCTATTTTATAATTTATCAAAATTGAAGGAATTTTTATTTTAAATTGAAAAATATATGGTCAATTAATTCTTAAAATTTCATCTTTTGTGTTAATAGACGGCAATTCTTACGTCAAAACCTGTCAAAATTTAATTGCACTGAATATCTCTATGTCGACAATGATACCGTTTTACAGCACAAAAATAAAAAAATCATTATTAAAATTTGTTCAAAACCTTTAGAAATCGTGAACATAAGAGGAAATATTCTTTTTTTCTACAGACGTTACAATGTATGAGCAATTATCTTTGCTTAAACCTGCAACGGTTCAAATTTTCCGGCTAAAACTGCTTTATATTTTGCTGTCTTTGATTATATTTTCGAAATCTTAAGTATTTTCTCAATACTCAGCCGCCAAATATAGGCTTTTTATCTCAGGTTGTTTTAAATTAAAATTTTCATTAGCGATTGCTTTGAGTGATCTTTGCTTCATTTAAACAATCGTAGAGAAGTGATTGCGCTTTATCACAAGTAATAGCCAGAATCACTTAGTTCCGGTATGAGCATCTACAATTAGAACCTCGTGATAAAGTAATCGATGTTGAACAAGATAGCAGTTTGATGAAATTGATTAGAGAAAATTTTTAATTCAATCAATACCCATAAAGTTTTCAGCGGTATTCGACATTTTGGTGTAATCGTTGGCACACCAAAAATGGATATTTAGAATTTAAACAATGACGACCTACGAATCCTTTCCCAACTCGAAAAATTAACATGACATAAGTTCTAATTGTGATCGTGAAATAACAGCAATTTATATTTATTTATTAACACGAAGAGCACAAATTTTAAATTGGTGCAAATAAACAAAAGGTAAATATAAACATTAATAAAAATCATTGAAAAAACGTAAAAGGAAATGTTAATTCAGTCGTAGAAAATTTGATTCTTTTCCTTTGAAATTATCATGCCCAAAATAAGGACAAAAGGTATAGCCGTAGTTAGAAGTCATTCACTTAAAGGGGCGATATTAGAGCGGTTCTAAACCTGGCTGAAAAAGTTACTTAAAGCTAATTACTATGTGCAATTTTGGAATTCGCACTTAGGATGTTGCCCAACTTTACTTACTGCCTTTACATTTTTTCAAATACCCAAATTTAACTATCATAAAATGAAGAACAGCACCCAAAAATCAATATCTTATAGTAATTGATAATCAAATTAAATTTGCCGATTTTACTGCCTAGAGGTTTGGATAATAAGGAGTACAAATTGGTTAATATCTTGTATCTAATGAAATTAACTCTCATCGACCGTATTATTTGATTGTTTGAAAGAATGACCAATCACGGAGCAAATAAGCAGGTCTCGAAGGCAAGTCTGGATATAATTAGCTCACTCGAATAAAACTTCATTTATAAATTGTGTCTACGAAGACAATTAGACTCGGTTGATTAAATCATTAATGCAGTGCTATAAATATCAATTTTTGCGATAATTTAGGCAACCAGAGGAATGGTATTTTTTAAACTAGATAAGCTCAGTCAAAAGATCTTTTGGCATGATTAGATTGATGAGTAAATTTATCAATTAATTCATTGGCTCTGATAGTACCGAAAAGGTGTCCCTGAAACCAAATTTTGTAGCTTGAAGTAGGGTACATTAACTGTATTGCAATTACCAATAAACATTGAATTAAAATGAAGAAAAATGACCATTGGAGTCGCGGCTGGAATATTTAGTTCTCTCTATTTTCAGAGTAAATCGGAAAGATTAAGAGCAATAGTTATATATTTTCATGGGTAATACAAGCGCACCGAACTCAGTTGGAGAATATAACTTCATCCAATCACTTTTTTAACTAAAAATAACTTTCTAAAAATAGCCCATACTTGATCTTTACCAAGTTCAAAAAATTAGTTTGCTCTCCCAATTTGTAAAATGTTTTAAGCATTTTATGCTTGAATGCTATTTACCATAAAATTGTTTGTTTGCAAAAGAAGAAGTAACAAATATTTAGACAACTTCTCAAGGTCTTAAAATAGTCAACAATAAATTTCCTATAATCTATTATCATTCACTGTATTCAATCAGTTAACTATTTACTAACTTTCCTAAATACCAACGAATTCTTTTTGAAAGCGACTTTTCATCCACAGAACCAGTGGCGTTTGTTTTGCTCCTTGAAAATACATACAAATTGGTAATTGTACATATAATGAAAAATACAAGCACCCATAATCCCTTTGATAGCCCTAATTAGATAAATAGTATTTGTTTCTGATAGGCGTTTGGCCAAAATGGGTTCATTCTCGAAATCAAACCATTTTTTAAACAATTTTGAACACATTTTAATTTTCCTATAGACAGAATTTAAATTTGGGTGAGTGAAAGGAATGTTAATTGCAAATATCCTGAAGGTCAATTACTAACAAACCCCATCCAATCAATGCCTTTGTTTTGATATTCTCAATCAAGAAATAATATTATACATTAGTAATATGTAATTTAGGAAATATTTTTTGCTATACCAATTTGAAGCTTCTTAATTCCTAATTCTTGGTTTTGATTATCGCGAAATTGCATTTTTAAAACTGGAGCGATTGCTGAAAAGGGGTAAATTTACAAAATATCAATAAAATTTAGTATGTACATTTATTTTTATTTTGGTTAAAAGAATACGAAAAATCATTTGAATAGATGAGATTTGTTAAAGCATAAAATTTCAAAAATTAAATGACTTAATATTTTTATAATTCACTAAAATTTCTATTATATTTTTAAAGGAATTTATGGTGAACGTGGTACAGCCCTTCTGAAAATTCGCATGAACGCGGCTGGAATATGCTCGGAAACAGAACACAGTATAGATAACAAAGAAACGGATGAAGCCTTCCTAAAGCTTGCTGATGACATCTTCAATCCACAGCGAAAAGCGAAAGTGGTAATCTGCTTCTGCCAGGGTGAAACCGTTGGGGGCCTGCTGAAGGCAATGGATACTCTGAATCTCCATGGAATGGGTTACACTCTCATAGGAACGTAAGTATGCGTCTATATGAATGCCGTCTTACTTTTGGCGCATTAATTCTATTAGAAAAAAATATCACATAAGTAAATACTCATTACATAACATGATTTGAAAATATGGTAAAACCTGTCAGTGGAAAGCTCACGGGTGCACGTTTTGCCTTTTCCAAATCAATTTTAAATCCACTCTAGGGGAATATATTTATTTATCTATTTCAAATGGCAGGCGTTTTGATGGTCATCATTAGCCCTTTAGCTGACTTCTGGCTTCACAGAGAGGAGGAGGATCATCAAGGTGACAAAATGTCGAGAGGGGAGTCAGAATAATGATACCCAGATTTATAAGAGACAGAAAGACACAAAGGCAAAGAGAAGTTAAGATGAGTACTGTGAAATTAGTCGAATATGAAATGCAGTGGGGTCTTGGTAGTTTGAAGTCTAAAGTCAACTGCCGATAAATATACTTTTTGCCCTATGATTATATGTTGCTAAGGGTGCAAAACAATGTCAATATAATTACCTCCAAAATTATCGCTTTATTCAAGTGTAATTTCAAAGCTGAGAGGTAACTTGAGAGCTCATATGATAAATCGTCGATAGTTAAACGGGGCTCAGATTCAATTAGAGATTTTAATACATCATCATCGAAATATTTTTTGGTTATTCTGACTTTAGGACAGTTCTTCCAATTTCTTTCGAAAATTTAAATCTTTCGAACCAAAAAATTCATTGATAGACTTTAGATTATTGAGCGTTCTAAGATCTGATGAGAGAAAAGCATCATGCGATGTATATTTACTGTGTTTGGAATTGACTAAATAAAGTAAAAATGAATAATATTAAAAATTGTGTCGACTAAGAAAAAAACTATTAAGAATAAGCATCTACAACATGTCTGGACAAAAATAAAACTCAGACATCTGCTGGTAGAATTCGAGTCTCCTTATTGGTAGCCTCAGTAAAATGGAAACGCCGTGAAATTTTATTTGCATCGCCCAGGTTCACTATTTACTTCCATACACAATGCCTGGCCTTGCTCTATTCAAATGCACTTAATTGGCTAACTCCAAGCACCATCTATTACTCTCCAAACTCTTGAATCCCGTTGGACTAATTGGATATATCTACATTACACTAGCAAATACATAAAATTTGTCAGTCATTACTTGAAATAAACCACTTTCATTTGCCAATTTAGATATTGTTATTCTTATTATGGTAGTCAAAAGTTTTATTTAATTATTTAAGATGGAGCGAGTGGAAGTCGGGAAACGATTTGGAGCTAATGACTTGACTCCAAAGTACCCAAGTGGTTTTCCAAACACGATTTTCTGAACAAAAAGACCTAATTAGTAAAGTTTATTTATTATTCAGAAATGCTTAGAAACGATACCATGATCATATTAAATAGATGTCACACATTATTCAAAAGTATTTCCCATGTTTTTTAAACCAATCAAATTTTCAATACCTACAAAACTCCATATCTTGCAATTTATGCGTAAATGGATGTCTACAGTTATTAGTATATATGTGCAAACAGAAATTAGTATTCTAAAGCAGTTCGTTTGATCACATTTATTTCTCCGAAAAATTATACACAAAGCGAAAAAAAATCAATAATTTCTTTTTGCCGCCTTTCTTAAACTTCCGATAGTTGTAAACAAAGTGATAAGAATTCGTTCGACATACCATACAACTGCCTGGATTTAAATAATGCATACAGATTAATGGCGTTAAAGAGCTGAAGTGCCAGCAATTGTTAGATTCCAAAAAAAAATTTACAAAATTTCTTTGAAGCTGTTAAACTTCCGAAAACCAGAAATTGCATCCACGTATCATTTCAAAGAACGCAATTTTTGAAGCTAATATGCATTGATGCGAATTGAAGTTTACGGAGGGGGTTTAAAATAATTAAATCAACTTTTGTCATTAACTATGTAACAACTGAAAGAAATGAATCTGAAATACAATGGGAACAAGTTATCCTATTGTCCTTCTCCGTTTAATTATGGATCTAAGTTGTAGAATATCTGGTTATTTTCCAAAATTCGCATTTCACTATTTGTCTCTTTGATTGCAACTAACGTTAGCTTTAGTGTAATTAAAATTTTATCAAACGTACTATTTTTTTCCAAAAAAAGGATTTTTGTGCGCCCGCGTGGCACATCTAAAACGTGTGATAACTACAAAATTCCTCCTCGTAAATGCAAGAAAAAAGGTATTTTCAATTCCTAAAAACAACTACAAATTTTAGACTATCATAAGAAAGTGTGCAACTAGAATGGAATTTAATACTGAAAGATAAAAAGTCTAAATTTGATATTACGAGAAAAGCAAATGGCAAACAGTACTGAAAATTTCCATTTAAAGTTAGCTAAATTGCTTGTTCTCGATTTGTTTTAGTAAGGCTCTAGAACATTATCTGGTAATGTAGCGAGATTTCGAAGGCAAAAGACCGTCCTTCGGGATTCACAAAATTTGTTTTTCATCATAACAATGAAATAAAAAGCTATCTAAAAATCCTGCTAAAACTGATTTAAAATTAGCTTCATTTGTCGAAGAGAATTAATTCAGAATTTCACAAAGTGAAAAAATGACTTTAAATTGATATTAAATTTAGCCTAACAAAATAGCAAATTTTAGTCATTTGTAGATGCTATATATAAATGTAATCCAACTTTTTGGAACCATATACTTAAAATCACATTAATAAGCATCAAATTAATAGTAGTATAGCTTTGTAATTCTCATATTTTTGTGTCATGATGTGACTAAATGATCACTTAATGTGATTATGTCTATTTTCGAGGTTTTTGGTTTTTTTCAAGTCCAAACGTTCATTTCAGTTTCCTTTTCTTAATAGCGTTTCGCATGTATTATTCAAACTGCATATTTAATATAATGAAATATAGAAATTGAAATATTAGCGTCAATAACCAATGGACATGACTTTTATTTTACTTGATGCGTTTTATCAATTATCGCGCGCCATTGTCTGGAGGTGCACACTGATATTCGTCGATATATTAATCAATTATACTAAATTGAAGTTTAGAAATCAGACGTCAAGTATTTATCAGGCTCAGAATTATATTATTAAAGACAATTTACCGGTCACAACATCAAATACCATTCCATACATATTTAGAAATTTCTGACAGAAATACCTGCTTTTATATTAATTAATGAGGGGTGTGCAATAGACTTACCTCCATGTGGTGCACCCTGGGCAACGTATACTCATACGGCAAAAAAGTCTGTTAACCGGAATTTGACTTCTGACTTCAAACTACCATGGCCCGACTGCTTGCCATATTCGACCCCTTTCACAGTACTCACCCTACCTTTTCTTTGCCTTCGTGTCTGTCTCTTTTACATCTGTCAATCACTCTTCTATTCCCTACCACTCGACTTTCTGTTACATTGATGTTCCTTCCCCCTGTGAAGCCTGAAGTCAGCTAAATGGCTAATGATAGCTATCAAAACGCCTGCCATTATAAAAAATTTCAATTAATGAATTAGCTGTTTAAAAATTGTACTCTATATTCAGAGTATTATAATATTTGTAGTTAATTTATTAAGTGGGGAAATTAAAGCAGATAATTTTTATTTGAGGGAAAATTATACTGAATTCAGTTTGGGATGAATTTCTTTGGATTGAAATTACTGATAACCCAGGTTAAATTGGTAAATATTTACTTTTTTTGAATTTAAGCCACTATCTGCTAATATTGAACGAATATGGTAATTTCGGACTTTCCACAGATATCAGTTTCTACTTAATTCAAAACTTTCAATATAATAATTAAAGTTATTTTATTCATTTTTTAAAAAAATTGTTATAAATGTTAGTGGAGGAAAATTAATATGCCGGAATAAGGACGGTTTGGTAGTTTGCGCAAGAAAAGTTGAAAAGTTTGCAATAGAAACTCGCGTTGAATTATTTGCTTGTTTTGTACCCCCGAGAAAAGGTGGAACACAGCGCAACTATAAATTTTAACATTCTTATTGACCTCTAAAAGTGCAAAAAATAAATGATGAAATGTGTGATGATAAATTAGCACGAGAAATTCCCAACTCAGTGCATTTGTCCCCAACTCTTTTGATATCTCTTTTCAAATAAAGACAAAGTCGTTGAAGATAGAGGGGCGCGAATTATTGGGTTGGCAACTAAGTCATTGTCGTTTTTTTTGACGGATTCACTCTATACTTTCTTTTGTTTTGTTAACGTGGCCAAAGCATCTAACCTATATTTTTTTCCTACTGTATGAGCTTCTAGGTTAATTAGTAAAAATTTTTTTGTTTAGTTCTTTAGTTTTGTTTTTATCCCAATTTAAAAATGAAAGAACAGGACGTGCACTTCGAACACATTTTATTGTATTACTTCCGAAAAGGCAAGAACGCATCCCAAGCACAAAAGAAGAAGTTATGTGCCGTATATGGAAAAAGGTCATCAAAAAGAACGGCCAATATCTAATTGAATAAAGTTATATTTTTAAACAAAAATTCCGGCTTATTTGAAATCGACAATGACTTAGTTGCCAACCTAATAGAATGCACCCTGAATAAAAATCCTAACTTGTCAAGATAAGTGGAACGTTTAAAGCAATACATTGTTAGCTCCAAATTTGACGTGTGATAGGGTAATTAACTTCTCATTTCTACTGTATAGACATGACGATAAAATGTGGCAATTGATTCAATCGAAATTGTATATAATTTTCATAATTGATACTTCCTCCCAGAATCCGCCCATGTACGCACTTTCTTATTATTGTAGGGCATTGAATTATTTAAAATTTTATTTCATATGGCTTTCGTTTCAAACGCGTTGTTATTAATTTTTTAAGGGAAATAACTCGATAAATAAGTTAACATTATCCTGAGCTGAAATTAACACTTTGATGACTCATAACTGATGATATTGTACATAAAATAAGTAATTAAATATTTAACCTCGATGTTTACATACCTGTGACTAATCCATTTAAACATATTATAATTTAAATTCTTTTAACCTCATGCACATATTTTTTTGAATATATTTATTTATTTATATCAAATGGCAGGCGTTTTGATAGTTATCATTAACCCTTTAGTTGACTTCAGGCTTTGCAGAGAAGAAGGAACATCGAAGGGAAAAAAGTCAAGAGGGGGGGGGGACAGAAGAGTGTTCCAAAGATGTAAAAGAGACAGACAAAGGTAGAAAAAGGTGAGGTGAGTACTGTGGAGGTAGTCGAATATGACATACAGTGGAGTGATGGTAGTTTGAAGTGAGAAGTCAACTGCCGGTTAATAGACTTTTTTGCCGTATGTGTATACGTTGCCCAGGGTGCACCACCTGGAGGTAAGTCTATCGCACACCCCTTATTTTGAATGATGAAATGAACAGTGAATATCTTTGAACCAGATTTGCGGTGATTGAATATTTGAAAATTCGACTTGAGAGGACAAATGAAACCAATTAAATTCAGAAGATCAAATAACAGCACCTGTGTTGAATGGACAACCAACCCCAGTCTGTATTCCTTTATTTGTGTGATTTTCAAAAGCCGTTCCTTTAATATACCATCCAGTTCGCTTCCCACACTAGGAATGATATCTCGACTGTCTAACTACGTCAGATTTTTTTTGCACCGATCCACAAGAATCAGACTTCGCGCAGTAAAGTTGTTTCCTTTAGTATTTTAGATCATTCAAATCCGGTTTTATTACCAGGTTTAATCAGCCTCTAGCAATAATGTGACGGCAGAGGCTAAACTAGACCAGTCTAGTCATTTATTGACTTTGTCTAAGTGTTATCTATCGCATTAAGATTGTTTCTATCGGTTTTAAGTTGGCCTGGAAAANATGGTCAAGAAGGAAGATGGAACAGAAGAGTGATTCAAGGATGTAAGAGAGAGAGAGAGAGACACACAAAGGTAGAGAAGAAGAAGATAAGGTGAGTACGTTGGAAGTGGCCAAATATGATATACAGCCGGGTCATGGTTATTGAAGTCAGTGATCAACTGCCGGTGAGGGATGAGAGATTTTAACATAAACTGTAAATTAACCTTTTAACTATTATAATCCTGAAACTCAATTGAAAATATTAAACGCATAAGAAATAACGAAATATGAATATTTCTACTGTGGCTTCTAATTTTCCTCCGATGATGCCATATGCTTTGTTCTTCTAACTCAGCTATGTACCTTCAAATCGACCTTGTCAGTTACCATAGAGCTGCAATTTTTAAACACTATCGCTTTAAGCATTCTAGAACTATTTTTGACTTTTGTATTTAAAATCACAGCAAAGCAACTTAGAGCTGTCTTACTAGGCAAGTGACCCAAAAGATTTAACATATACTATTTATTTATTTATATCGAATGGCAGGCGTTTTGATAGTTATCATTAGCACTTTAGTTGACTTCAGGCTTCACAGAGAGGAAGGAACATCGAAAGGAAAAAGTTGAGAGGGGGAGGGAAGAGAAGAGTGTTTCAAAGATGTAAAAGAGACAGACACAAAGGTAGAGAAAAGGTAAGATGAGTACTGTGGAAGTTGTCGAATGTGGCATACAGTGGGGTAATGGTAGTTTGAAGTGAGAAGTCAATTGCCGGTAAATAGACTTTTGTCTTGTGAGTATACGTTACCCAGGGTGCACCACTTGGAGGTAAGTCTATCGCGCACCCCGGCACATTCAATATTGAACTGAACTTAAATCTTCTCACTTTGAAGTAGTATATTGATTTTAATGAGCAGACTAAGATCAGTTGGGCGCCTGTCTGCCACAAATTCAATTTACTTATTGCGCAAAGATAGGATACAGCAAAAGAGCGGGCTTCCAACGGCATTACATTCACTTTTTTTATACCCCAAATGCTTTAATTTTTTGTTATAAAAATGTACTGCTCTCTTCGTTTTAGTGATGGATGGTCGGATAGGCTGGACATCTTGGGGCCGGTAATTAACCAAACGACAGGAGAGCAAGCTTACAGTAGAATTGCACGCGGCAGTTTCTCTATCAAGATCCACTCTCCCGAAGTGAAGGACTTTAACGAGTACTTCACAAGTCTAACACCTCAAACTCATCACTCTATCAATCCGTGGTTTACGGAGTTCTGGGAACAGAAATTCAACTGTCGAATTAATTCCACAGCACATGACAAACGAAGACAATGCACTGGTGCGTGTTGATTTTGATCAAGTTCGTTTGATGATATGTTTTTTGGTTTCGGCTGGAATGTACTTACGGAAATAACAAATTTTGAAGAATACCTTTTGAAAATTAAACTTTAGTTCGGCATTTTAGATTGCTGTAAGACTTGCAGAGGAAGAGATTTCTTATGACATTATATTTGTCAAATCATTGATATTACTGATATATAAATCTAAAAACGATTTTGAATAAATTCATCTGCTAATTAATCTGATTTAAAGGTGAGTTTGCTATTTTATTGAGGCATTTATGTTATAAATGGCAAAGGAATCTGTTGGCTTTGGCTAATTACCATAATGTGGTAATTTACTGTTCATATAATTAATGTCAATTTATATGAATATGTCAAACATACATAAAACCCGTTCTCTTTGTTAAGAGTGCAAAAGTCTATTGACCTTGAGATTACATAAAACTGAATATAATTATATATAAGGAAAATTTCATCAAGGGCAGTTAGTGAATAATTCTTCCGTCTAAATAGTTAGTTTGAGTCAATTTTAAATTGTTATAGTTGGTGTACAACGGAGGGTTTATTTACCTCAAATTGTTTAAATAATTGGATTAATTATTTTCGTTCAAGTTTAAAGAACTCTTTTTATCTCGACTGTTTGAACTTTTTTGATTTTAACAGCAGTCTGTGAGCAGATAAAAGTGGACTGTTAAATTGCACATTGCAAACAACTAGTCAAAATGTGTCTATGAGTTGTGTTTCAATTAAAGTTCATGATGAACTGAACAATAAGGGTCTAATTTATTAAAATATCTGAAAATTGTATAAGTAAGGCAGTTTTGACTGAATTACTAAAGTCTCATTACTACTAGGGCAAGAAAGCATGAAGGACTTTCCATTCCACCAAGACAACAAACTCTCTCTCCTCCGTTTGGCTATTTACGTACTCACCCTGGCACTTCATCAAGTTCAAGAAATCGTCTGCGGTGTTGGACGTCCGGGAGTCTGTCCTGGACTCCTGCCAGTGAATGGAACTCTTCTTTGGCAAGAGCTGTTAAAGGTGACTTATACAGATCGGAATAATGATAAAATCTCCTTTGATGAAAATGGGGATCCACCAGCAAAGTAAGTCTAGGGACATTATCTATTCCTGATTTCTTTCATTAAATGAGTAAAGATTAAAGGGAAGTAAAAATGAGTGGATAGTTAGAGTAGAGAAACATACGAGCAAACGCAAGATTTGGGGTTATTTCCTCATACTTTCAAGTGACCTTTTTCAAGAGTCTTGCACTGAATCCGATGTTTGCGATAAAGGATGTTACTATTATTGAAACAACCCCCGGGGGAGACAGAGTTACCCAATAATACCTTATATTGATCTTTGGGAACAAATAAATAAATGTAAAATGTTTGAATTCTAAAAAAATATGGAGGAAAAATGAGTAATCTCTCGAAAAGGAAGCTCTTGTCTATCGAATTGACCGTGGTCTTCTATTAACGACTTCCCTTTGAAAACTACGTGGTTCGGCTGTTGCCATCCTTTATCGAGCAGAGTTTACCAGTATTCTACCGAACTAGTTGATCTTTTTCTGTTTTTTCGTACGAAGTTAAGTGGGCCGAGCTACATCCTGTTCCATTTGATTCACCCGGTGATGCACAAATTTGTTAAACCCACTCTCACTTCCGTGATGAATTCCATTAATTGTTTAAGTTTCCCAGAACTGGAAAACCGCTGTATATTAAAATTTACCCGTATGGGTCATTATCAAAGTGGGTTTTTATTAACTAAAAAATAAAGACTTGTAATAACTTTAGGATTCGAAAAGAAGTTGATTGATATGCTTAATTGACGCGCTTTAATCAAGCACTGATGAATAAGTTAGCTGTATTGCGAAGATTAGTATTACTTGGTGATCGAATAGCAGCTTGCTTCTTTGTTCATCCAAGTTTGGACAAAAAGAGGCAAAGATCTGGCTTCTCTGTAGAAATGTAATAGTCTATCTTTTATTCCAAAAGTTCCAGACGCTTGCACTTCCACTTCCCTTCTATTTCATTTGCCCCTATCAAATGTCATAGGGGGAGAAGACGCGGGGTACTAATTTTGAATAAAATATTTCTTCTTTAGGCTCAAGTCACGGACTATTGACCAATCATTGACTTAGGTTGAGTGAATTAATATTCCTGAATCCAAGCACCTTTTTGTCCATTTAATTTACCAAACAAGCAAGCATAATCTTTATCAGTTAGCCACATTCAAGTTTATTAGAGGGCCATGCTAAAATGCCATCATATTATTGATTTGTGATTTAGCCGTTTCTCCTGAATACTTCTGTCGTCGAATATCCCAATCGATGGACTAATTCAGACTTCGAAAAGGTGAAAAATGTTTCATTCGTTTCTAAACTGTTCAAATCTCTCTATGATTTGTAATTGATCGTCATTTATTTATTGAAAATCTTTTGCACTCCTGAACTCCTTCAATTTCCCTACATCTTGTCACATTTTGACTAAAAAACCTCGTTTAAAATTGGGGGCAGGCTTCTTACTAACTATTTTCTTACACAGCTACGATCTCATGAACTACCAGTTTACGGTAGATGAGGATGGAAAAAGCGTCTACAAATACGTTGAAATTGGAAAGTGGAAAGAGGGTAGACTGGAAACAATTGATCTAGACCACATTCAGTTTCACAATGAATTCGAAAATGCCTCCGGACCCGTAAATTCCTATTGCAGTGCACCTTGTGGACCATGGGAAGCAAAGGTACCTTGATTAACGCGCTTTATGACTTAATAATGCAAATAATGCGTTGCTTAATGTCACTATGCATTTCTATGCGTTGTTTTAAATACTTAAAACCGAGGAGTATGTTCAAATTTTCAAAACCAATATCTCTGCTTGAAAAATAGGCCAAAATTTCATTCAAATTCTATTCATTAAGCAAATATCGAAAGATTTTATTTATCTTATTGCCTCCAATAACGTGTATATCCTCATCTTTAAACTAGATTTTAGCTGTCTAAAACATTTTAATTTTCACAATTAACAAATTTGTCCTTATTTTCTTTGAGGATTTGTTTTATAACTATACATCTGGAAGTAGCTTGTAGACATTCATTCATTTCAAATGGCAGGCGTTTTTATAGTCATCATTAGCCCTTAAGCTGACTTTGGGCTTCACAGGGGGGAGAAACATTAAATTAACAGAAAGTCGAGGGGTGGGGAACAGAAGGGTGATCTACAGTTGTAAAAGAGGTGAGTACTGTGGAAGTAGTCGAATATGGTGATGGTGGTTTTAATTCAGAAGTCAACTGCCGGTTAATAGACAAGTTGTATAGTTTTTCTTGATGAGAAAACGTCTGAGTCCAGTAAACTAAAGTGAGGTACTAAATGGGTAAAAACAATTATCTGTAAAAAGCTTATTGTAAGGTTTGATCAATAAACCGGCTTTATTAATTTCCTCTTTATGTTTTAATGATTCATTGCTCACATTTCGTGATTCGTCTCTCATTTTTTCAAGAGCGAAATCACGTTTGTAGCACTTAGTACATGTTGAAAGTTTTTATTAATCGATATGCTTTGTCAATCATTTCGGAAAATAGCTTCCCAATTAATAGGAATTCAGAATTCTATTCTATTCGGCGGATAACCTTTATTCACATTTTTTTCTCCTATAAAAGGAGAAAGCGCTCATGGGAAAATTAGTCCCCACTTTGGAGATTTATATTCACCCCTTTCAAAATGTGCCGTACGCGCATTCTAGCAGTATGAAGAATATACTTTAGCAAAAAATAGTTTTGGCTTCTTTCTTAAAGGTTATTCTAAAAGCTTTGTGCTTTATTTTTTCTAAATACTTTTCATTGGCTTTCAATTTCCAACCGCCCTCCTGAAGGAAAGTGAATTAATGGGAGAAGAAACATGCCCCAGATTGAAAACAATATCAGATTCAGCTCTCAATGAATTATCATCTAATTTGAGTTGTGTTTATTCTCGAATCGTACCACTTTCGCGGTATTTCTTTATCCTTTTCAGATAGTGAAGAGCAAGTCAAAGGCTTGTTGTTGGATATGTCAACCCTGCAAGGCAAATGAATGGAAGACGCCGAATGAGTTATGTGAACCTTGCGAACTCGGATTCAAACCAAACATAAATAAGACCGGTGAGTACTTAGTATGAGAAAAGTTTTAAAAGCTTCTATAACCTGATTGAAATATTCACGTTAAAAGCTACTGATTTTAAAGACTAGCAGGATATGATAGATATTTCAAAATTTAAAAATAATGAAAATTGTGTAATGAATGATCTCAGAGGAAGGTGAGAGTTTTTGAAAGAAGGCAGAGTTGCGTAATTGGAATTGGATGGATGTGCTAAAATGAGGTATGAGTAGAGAGGCTGTCAGTTGTATCTGTAGATGTGTAAGCTGCACAGAGTTACGAGTCAAAATGACCGCTACAGCTCTTTGATTAAGCATTCATTGACAAAGACAGGTTCAGTATATAAAGCTACTCTAGTGTAATTTAGTTTCATTATAAAGGGACAGTTTCTCAAAAACAAATAATCATTCAATTGCAATGCTAAAAAATTTGAAAGGGCAAAATTTTATCATCAATAAGTATTGAAAATAGGGTGAGCTCAAACTAATTCATTAAGGTATGAAACGGGGTGAACGAGCAAAGAATAAACAGATCGATACTGTCCATTCTACGAAGTCTCTCACTTATCATTACCTCTTATCTTTATGGCCTTAGTAGCCAGACAGTTTGTTTAGGCTTCAAAGACGGTGAACAATTTAGATATATACCGTTCTTTAATTAGCTCACAATGGCATGACGCTTTGCCAACACAAATTTTCGTGAAAGTCAAAACCATTTTACCTCAGATTTCAGTAATATTTCAGTATATTGGTTGTGAAATACACAAGCGCTGAAAAGCGGGTAATTTCAACTTCATTCACGTCGAAGTGTTTGGTTATTGATTCGCTTCTGCTTAACCTCACCCCTGGTTTATTTGTTCCTATTCAACTTTACAATAGCAGAGTACGTAAATAAATAATTACCATAACAGTGAGCTTGTTGTTGCCATTAAAACAAGTTTCAAGATTGACAAAACAGAACCGTAATTAAAAAATTAAAAAATTAAAGGAAAAAATGGGGTTGAAAGAGAAATGGAAAATATAAAAACGAGACGAGGAAAGGTAGGTAGAACTCAAGAGCTATGTGATTGCGTAGGATTGGAGAGGAAAATACTGAGTCATTGAATGGCAGAGAGAAGTAAAATCGATAATCAATATAATTAATATTGGAAATTTGGAAGTCAAACGCGTCAATTTAAAACGACGCAAATTATTATAAAAGTCAAACTGGACATGCAAACTAAGTAATAATTTGGGAAAGTTTTATGAGGAATTCGTCAAATTACTTTTCTCCAAAAGCCATTTATTGAGACTATGTAAATGACTTCCTTTATAACACTAGTTCCACTCATTTTCTCGATTCATTCCTTCGAAATCAGATAGTTTTATTAAGCTGATATACTTAAAACATTGTTAAATGGTTCTTGTATTGTCTTTCCCTTCAAATACTAAATGTGTTGCTACAAAATTGTGCATTCTTTTTAAACTAATTTCTTAACTTATAGAAAGGTTTTGATTCATGTTGTTTGATATAAGGCGTAGGCTGTGCATGAAATTTTGTAAAGAAAAAATAACATTATTTTTCATTCTGCTAATTAAAGAAATATATATTTATTTCTTCCTATGCTTGTAAGTACCAGTTGATACAGAAACAGGATGCATCTAGAGGTTATCAAATTTAATTTTTCAAAATTTCGAATTTCATTGCCTTACTATGGATCGATATTATCATGATTAATCAATATCACTCATTTGTGAAGTGTGACTATTTTAAAATAAGAGTCGTTCTCATGATTGCAACTTATTCATTAGTTTTTGAAACGAATTTGAGGTAAAGTTATGATCATTAAATATTTAAACTTATACTAAGGAGTGAAGTTGGTTTATCCTAAATCACAGCTTAACCACTTCTTACCTGAAAGTCATTTACTAGGCATGCTTGATAAGATCAAATGCCTGGATCTACCCTGCGTGCATAAGCATAGGATCCAAATAGTTTGCCGTAGAATGAAAAACCGAGGCTATCCTGTGAAGCAATGGGAAAGTAAATTTATCCCCCTGCATGAATCGTGCAATTCAAAGTGATCAATTTACCCCTACAAATGATACAGATGAATTTATTTTGCAAAAATTCAAATGCATTTCAACTAATGTTTATTAAAATCCAGGACTTAAAGGTTTCAGGGAACTGATTTGAGGGATACCGAGGGATGTCTCCCAGAGGTATTTTGACTTCACCTAATATTATTAATGACTTCCTATTTGTCGAGCAAGTGTTATTCAGACAATTGCCTAATTCGTGGGGTTCTAATGCTTATTTGTTTATCATTTATTCCTTTAACGTCCGAATCATTGTTTTTTTTTAAATTGCACAAACCGCACTCACTCGTGTCTCATAGCAAACTCGTGATGTCGGCGTGATGAGTTTTGATGGTATCAGGCGAGGTCTATAAGCTTATTGATCGTATTTCGAACGAAAATAGCGTCTTGCGTTACGAGTCTAGTACCAATTGAGCTTATTTTGAAAGGGGGTTGGACGTATGGTCCTGAGGGAGTTAAAGTGTAAAATTAAATAAATTGTTAATTTTCCTAAGATATATAGATAGCAATGACCGCAAATATTAATCGAAACTGGGAAAATTTTTTTTGAAAGTAAGCAAATATTGTGAAATGTTATTTGCGGTATATATTAACTCTAATGGACAACTCACTCGCCTTAAATTACATGAGCTAATGAATTCATAATTATTTTCATGGGGTGTGTTATAGACTTACCTCCACGTGGTTCACCCTGGGCAACGTATATTCATACGGCAAAAAAAGTCTATTACCTGGCGGTTGACTTCAAACTACCATTACCCCACTGAATATCATATTCGACTACTTTCACAGTACTCATCCCACCTTTGTTCCACCTTATCTACCTTAGTCTTTGATGCACTCTTCTGTTCCCCCCCCCTCTTGAATTTTTTACACTTTGATGTTCCTTCCCCTCTGTGAAGACTGAAGTCAACTAAAGGGCTAATGATAACATTCAAACGCCTGTCATTTGATATAATAATTATTATTATTTTCATTAAGAAATGGAAGTGCAAGGTAAAAAGCTTTATCAAAGTGTACATATACTTCATCTATTATTTCAACTAAAGGAAATGACGTTTTGTTCCATGAAGCAACCTCTTTGACTTTATTGCTGCTTAGAATATCCACAAAAATAATATTTGCAATAAAGCCTATAAGTTTAGGCAATTGGACCAATAGTAAGAACTGAGTCAATACAATACCAAAATATAAGAACTGAATACCAAAAGAGTACATTGACCAATTAAAATAGTACGCGTTAATTTATTGGCAGTACTGCCAGTAAAAGTGCATGTAAATAATGAAAAAAACGCATATTTGCCAGGAAATGTTAATGTGTTGCTTTTAGAATTCCCATGAAGTCCTTGTGTTGCCAACAGAGGCGCGGATGACTAGCAGACACACATGAGGATGAGGCATTTTGAGTAAAGGTCATTTTGCAAACATAGATACAAGCTTGACAATGAGCAATATTTATTTATTTAATTTATTTCAAATGGCAGGCATTTTGATGGTTATCATTAGTCTTTAAGTTGACTTCGGGCTTCCCAGAGGGAAGGTTCATCAAAGTGAGAAAAATTCGACAGGGGAAAAGAAGAGCGATTCACAGATGTAAAAGAGACAGATAGACAGACACAAAGGCAGAGAAAAGGCTAGATGAGTACTGTGAAAGTAGTCGAATATGATATTCAGTGGGGTGATGGTAGTTTGAATTGAGAAGTCAACTGCCAGTAAATAGACTTTTTTGCCGTATGAATAACGTTGCCCAGGGTGCACCACGTGGAGGTAAGTTTATCGCACACCCCACAATGAGCAATATTTGGAATGAAGAGCAGTGTCACTCACTTAAATCGCTAAAAAGTATTCAAATTTGAAATCATTTAGTACCCGTTTGTTCAATATGGCTTTGCAACGTGCCAAATGGAAAACAAATTTATTGGAGGAAAACCGCTGGCTAATTTATAAATAATCGACGACGCAGTGCATTTACATGATCACCTCCATTTGGTGTTTATATCAAAATAGAGTTGGTATTGAAATAGCTATCTTCTTTTGGCAAGTACTCTATACCCAAAGGCATCCCTCAATAAATCACCTGTAGTGAATCTAGTTAGATTTCATGATTTCTAAAATATCGTGCTTTGTTTGACTGAATAAAGCCCTACATAGGCATTCATTTTACACTCATTGGCCCGAGGATTGTAAAAGTGCTTTAAAGATAACGTGGCCTTAAAAAGCGTAGTGGTTAATGCTCACGTTTATGAATTAAGAAACAATGCAATTGGTATCCATTCATGAACAACTCGGTGAATACCATGTTCAAAAGCAATGGTTGTGACTTCAAGTTTTTAATTAGGGAGGTTTCATGATATCGGCGAACCCTTACCTTAAAAAAACACTCTGAGTTCTTTATTGAATGGAATTTTTCATAAAGCAGGTAACTCCTTCCTTCTGTTGCTCTATTTGTTAAGTTGACATGCTGTTTTGGTCTCCCTTAGAGCATATTGTTCTCTCAAAATTGTTAACTATGGCTCAAAATTATATGTTCTCTTTTAGGTTGTGAACCGATCATTCCCTACTACACCCACTGGACTGATCCCACATGCCTAACTGGCATAACCTTTGCTTGTGTGGGTGGAATTTTGACATTTATCATACTCATCATATTCATTATTCATCGAGACACCGCGGTGGTAAAAGTCTCCACACGCGAACTCATGTGGATTATTCTGTTGGCCATGCTGTTGGCTCACGCTTCTGTTTCGACAATCCTCCTTCGGCCATCTGTGACCACATGTGCACTGCAGCGTTCGCTTCCAGCGCTAGCCTTCACGGCCATATATGGAGCTTTGGTCACAAAGACGAATAGAATAGCGAGGATTTTGGAGGGCTCAAAAAGAATTCTATTGAAGAAGAAGCGATTTCTCTCCACTTCTGCACAGTTGGTGATTACTGGCTGTAGGTCATAAAGTCTTTTTTTGTAATCATATTACCATTATACTAGAGAGCACAAATTCAATACTTATATGTAGATTTAAATTCCACTGAGCAAAATAGAGTAATTATAAGTGGCAGCTATTCACTTCAAGAATAACTCACATCCTAGACCTATTCCATGCCTTCAAAATTTTCAGGTAAAGGTTATTCTGGCAATGACAAATAAATAATTTGAAGGGCGGCTTAGATAATATCAAGGAAATAGTCGGATATAAGAAATAAACTATGTTCTGTTTTTTTTCAGTTTGCTTGTTTAACTCAATAGTTATTCCCACGGGATCATATTTATTTCAAATGGCACTCGTTTCGACAGTCATTATTAGCCCTTTAGTTTAATTCGAATTTCACAGGGGAATGAAACAAGCAAAATCACAAAAATGTTGAGAGGGAGAACAGAAGAGAGGTCCACAGATTTAAAAGAGACAGACGGACACAATGGAAGAGAAAACGCATTGTGTGTACTGTGAAAGTGGTGGAATATGACAAACAGTGGGGTCATGATAGTTTGAAGTCAGAAGTCAACTGCCAGTTAAGAGACTTTATTGCCTTATGAGTATACGTTGCCCAGGGTGCACTACGTAGAGATAAGTCTATCGCGAGTGATCCTCTTGAGTAACGTTAAATGAGCTTACCTTTATTGAAAATGCTAATTTGCATGTCTTGATTGCCTCATCATGGGTGCAAGAAGACACGAATGCGTAAGGCAATCAATTGCTTCTAATTACCAGAGTTATCTAAACGTCACAGACCCTGATCAACTAAGAGACTCATGTGTAAAATCGTGGCAACGGAGCTTGTAGAGAGCACCTGGAGTTTCATAGTTCGATTCGTTTAAGACTATTTACACCAAGACACCACTGTCTTCTCATACGTGAACCAACATTGCACCCCTTCTCGGAATAGTTAACTTTTCTAGGTTTTCATAAAAAAATTCTTTGATTAAAACCGACAAAAGCAATGTTTACAGCCCAGAGTAGTTAAGGTAAACTATTGTCACACAACAACACTTTTCCAAACATATAGGCGGATGTGTCGCATGATAACTAGATGTGTCTGTTCAACCTTAACTGTCACAGAGAGACTTACAAAGGAGAAAGAAGTAAACTGTTTACGTGGCGTACTTATTTGATCTTTTACCCATTCCCATTTTTCCATACGAAGTTTAGAATTTCCACCTAATTGCTTTTCCCACAACTCAGCCTCCACTATCTCCCTCCCTCCCTCTCATCTCAACTCCTATTGTTTTGATTGAGGTGAGGTGGTTGCATTCTGTTAGCATTGGAGATCAGTGCGTTTTAAAGGCTATCTAACGAACCACAACTCAGTGAGATCGTATAAGTTGTTTTCAATTGGGACATCTAGTGACTAAATTGATCAATTAATCGATATGACATTCCCAGCACATCTGCTTATTCAAAAGATCATCAATTGGGCAAGAGTACCCAATTGAAGACCTTTAAGGAAATGTTTCAGAGCAACTGGTAAGAGGTTTTTACTGAACGTGTTGCATTCCTTTTTATTGGTTGAAAATTTTTAAAGTTTCAGTGGGAACAAGATAAAATTAAGCCTACACAATAGATAAACTAATTTTTTTGTGTAATACTGTTGGAGTAAACAAATACTCATTCCACATTTTCAGTAGTTTTCTAATTTGCAAATTTTACATAGGTGAAACGATAGGATAACATAGCGTGCGGTTGTCGGATGTAATGTGGATGATTTGGTATTGCAGTCAGTTCCTCCATGTGTCTTCGAGGAAGGATTGTCCTGGAGATGAATAAACCAATACCCGAGAGAGCTGTATTACTCGTCATGGAACTGCTAATAATTTGGAGACAAGGACCCTTAGCATTTGAGAAGACACAAATTGAGTTTCAGTTAAATAATTATGAAAGGGGAGAGAAGGAGGGAGGTAAATAGCAACACTGAGAAAGGACCATCAGAGTTAATTTAAAGAGGGGCTGAATGAAGGAAATATTTTGAATTAACAATTCGACACGCTTATTGGGTAAGTCTAAATATTCGTGATAGTTAAGTGAACTCAAATAGTGAATAGTTGGTGGGCGTAGTGTATTGGAAGTTTAAAAATGTTTTAATCCCATGATATTATTCAATCTACAGCTTCACAATTAGTTGAGGTTTCAATAATCTATCTGCAGATCTAAATCACTATCGGCTAAATTTGAGAGTTCTTCAATAGCATTCGTCTCCTCACTTCCATCACCTCATACTATTAAAATTTTCACATCGGTTGAAACCCCAATCTCAAATCTTACTTAGATCTTTCCTTGAACAGTGGTAGAACAGGCACAATTAATGTTTATTGTGATTTGCTTCAAATAGGATACTATGGAATAAGTTTTTGGCCTGAACTTCTGCCACTTCAACGCTGCTTTTGCTGATACATTAGGAGAATTTATGTTGCTCTTCAGGTTCATTAGCTTTCATTTTGACAAGTGTTTCAACACCTTTCCAGAACGACAGTTCATATTAGCCATTTTCATCTCTGAACTTCAACGAATTAGTGGCTAAAGCTGATGGAGGAAATCCCCAACTTGAACATCAGAAGAACTTGTCAGTAGTGGTGTTAACATGGTCAATGTCATTCGTGCATCGGCACCCGTTGCCTCTGAGGCCTATGTGTCCGGAGCACGATATATTCACATCAATGTCTCAATCCGTACAATCTTTGATAAAACTGAATCATATTTGATCCAATCATGGCTGACGAGTTGTGCATTCTCCTTCAGCAGTATTATTTCAGTCAATGTCAGCGAAAATTGTTTCTAAAGATTGCCAAAACGGTAAGGTGCTACACATTTAATTCATCAAAATGCTTACTGATAAATCGAAGTTGCATTCGAGTCATTGGTCTTAGTTTTTACCAGACACCACCTGCTGTATCCCTACGTATGATAGATATCAAGACATTGAGCATCTCTAGTATTGCTGCATATCTAGATGATATAATGGTCATAACAGGAACTATAAATGTGTCCAGAAATAGGACTTCCATAGAGTTGAATTGCACATCATTTTTCCTCCTTATGAAGTACCCAAACAATAACAATGAGGCAAATGGCGTCATGTCGATTCAAAAAATTTCAGATTATTACAAAAATGCTACGGTCAACAGTGATTACCACGTTGCTTTCTTTACTGGGTCACATCAGCTACTGGAGCACATTTCTGCTCACACTGACACCCTGAAATGCGTTGTCGAGAAAACAGAACTGGAATTCCACTTCCGACATACTACTGTCACAGGATTCCTATTCAAAGAGATCTGTTGTTATCTCTTTAAAGTGCAAGTATTTGATTTTTCATCGGTAGCCTGTGCTACCTACTTTCTCTTTGGTTCTTCTTCTATGTCTTTTGCCAGTGTAGATAGATGTCATCGTATCACCCGCGTCTACTTTCCAAACCGCTTCCTTCATGACATGAAACACACTTCTCTAAAGAGATGTATGTAGGAGATAAAGGCAGGGATTCGGGACACACTACTTTGTTATTAATAGTCAGCTGATGAAATCAACACCTGATGACTGAAATTGTCGAATTTACAATAAGATCTAGAATAAAGTACACACAGTCGGTTCAGCTGTGTACTTGAGTGTTTGCAGATGGATACATAAACCAAAACCAATTAACGCGACTAGAATTCGACTATTAGATATGATAAATGCGTAAATCTAATTTGTTTCTCGATAAAGTAAGGTGGCTTCCAGGTCACCTTTCTTTGCTGAACCGGTGATAAGAGTGACCTGACTGATTCTCTTCGCTATATCGATGTGACCTTGGTCAACATTGCTTTGTTACTCTATCGAACGTTGCTTCATCCAGCATTAAATTATCCCAGTCCTGACGAAATATATGGAGTGAAAACTGTGGGCTAACACAAGGCTCTCCTTTCAAATGACTCGACTTTTCCAAGTTCACCTTCCTGAGCTTAGAATGCTGGTGCAAAGAGCATAGCAAATTGGCAGAAGACTTAATCAGCAGCCAGCTAGGTGGCATGCTATGCGAAGTGGTTGTTGATGGCCAAAGTTGTGGGCGTCATCAAGACTGGGAGCATAATTTCTGCTTATTGTATTGGATACCCTTGGCTTTCTATAAATTTAAAATAATATTTATTTATGCATTTCAAATGGCAGGCGTTTTGATAGTCATCATTAGCCATTTAGCTGACTTCGGGCTTCACAGAGGGGAGGAACAGCAAAGTCACGTAAAGCCGAGAGTGGAACAGAAGAGTGATTCACAGATGGAGAAGAGATTGACAGACACAAAGGAAGAGAAAAGGCAAGGTGAGTACTGTGGAAGTGGTCAAATATGGCATGCAGTGGGGTCATGGTAGTTTGAAGTCAGAGGTCAACTGCCACAATGGGGTCATGGTAGTTTGAAGTCAGAGGTCAACTGCCATTTAATAGACTTTTTTCCGTATGAGTATACGTTGCCCGATGTGCACCATGTGAAGGTAATCAATCACGTACCCCATTTAAAATAATATTGCTCTCAAAATTCAGCCCAGAAAATAACGAAACCTTTGTTCGGAGCGTTTCCAGAAACACCTCAAAAGTTTCTAGCATTGAAAAGCTTCCAAAATAGAAGTCAAAGTGAACATTTTCGAATAGTCAATTATTTTCTTATTTAATTGTCTAAAATTGAAAAAAAAACATTTGAAATGCGCTAAAATTACGAAACATTTCTGAGCTTACCATGGAGAGGGGTGGATAGTAAAGCCTGCTCAATCGTGTGCTATTTGAAAATTTTAGAAGTTGAAACTATTTGAAGGGAACTCCAAGGCTTTTGGGCTGTTAATTATTAATAGCTGTTATGCTAATTTACCCATTATTTCAGCACACAACTCTATGTTGGTTTATGTCAAAATTATAAGGTTTAATCATTATTTATGATGGTAAGAAATCCAATTTAACCCCTTATCTGTCGAATAATTTTTTTGAGTTCTAAAAATTTTCACCATCTGTTACGAGCCCAGTACCAATTGGCTTATGTTTAAAGAGGGCCATACGCTCCTGCTTGACGTTAAAGCGTTAAACTTGTTTTAAACCCATGCTTTGTTAAAAAGTAATGAATAATAACAAGTTATTTTGTGTTTATTAAGTTGAAACTGAAAGTTTATTGCCCCCCCCCCCCGCCTCGT